CTAATTCGTCACTATACCCGCACTTTTGTTATCAACTTACCTACTTGGTTTCTTTTGTGTTTGTATGCCGTGTAAACGTTTACACTTATTCAGTTACCTTTATTTGTAAGCCTATGGTTTCCTATTAGGTAGACGCCACATACTGCTATGCTATCTATAGATACGTATACCTAGGAGAGGCTTAAGTAATACCATATACGGTACTCTTGAATGTTTTTCTGAAGCTAGACTAGTATCGGACCCGTCATACACACACACATACGTAACGCATGTTAACGTATGACGGTTATGCGTCTGTATATAAAATTCCATAAACAATAATGAGTACCCCCCTACAGAAGTGTACATGCTACTATATTATAAATTTCAGAAGCTCCTCTGTTTGATGTTATTAAAAATTTTCTTACTGAATCCTATAGATAACTTTTGTTGAACGAGGAAATTTTTCATCAACACGAACGAAAAGATTTGAATTGTCAAACATTTAAGTATACTATTGTTTTATTTCAAAATAATTTCATTTTCATTAAAGTATTAAATCCAACAACGAGTTTGCGAATTTGGCTATAAACTGTATACATTATTTTAAGCTACAATTAACAGCTTCAGAGCGCGTTTAATTAAATATTAGGCATTATTTGCAAATAACTTTTAGTTTGAATACAAAGTCTTCTTGGAAAATTTATAACATCATAACAAGGTTATTACGACCGTTTGACTTTACCCGCCGAGAAACCGCGGAAAGAAAGCCGCTCATGACTCAGTCATGACGGTGGAACATTTCAGAATATTTATGTTGTATATTTTGGTGGCTTCTAGTTTTGATTACGTTTCAATTAAATGAAGGCTCATCAAATTAGATTAAAAAGTCCCTTGAATGTTATTTATTATTTTCAAATAAAAGGAATAATATACCTACACCGTCAATAGCAAAGAACACTTAATAATGAACCCAGGTCACACAAAGACTCCTGATAATTTCACCTAACGCTAAAAGATACATTTATTTAAAAAATCTGCAATTACATGAAATTTTAGTCCTTTGTGTAACCCACGAGTTGTCATTACGAGTAATGCGGATATTCGGTTTTGCGTGGGGCACACCAAGTTTCTTGAGAAATATTATTTCATACTCTATAAAAAAAAAATTAAGCTCTTGAAGGGTGATCTGAGAGGGTTTACTTATTTCACGCATTGTCCGAACTGGTCTCAAGCATTCTCGATCGATTGAGGAGGTGGAGGTCACACATCATAATTAAAATAAAATACATTTGAAATAATGACGCGAACGTCTACTGAAACCATGAATGTCCTTCTCCTTTTAGAATTCATTTTATCATATTTGAAAAAATAAATAAGTGATTGATCAGAGTACTTAAAATGAACATCGTTATAACAAGTAACTAAGCGATAGTAAAAATTAAATGATTTTCATAGTTTCCAAATTTATATCTTAATACTATATGAATTTTATTTTTTCAAGGCTGGAGTTAAGCCTGTCACGATAAAATTGTGCATACACGTTCGTTGCCAGCGTACTGTATTTGATAGAAATACAAAAAGGACTGAGTCCCGTAAAGAAAGAAAATTTTACGCAAGTGAAGTATAAGCCAGGTAACTGTAAAAGGAGAAAGGGAGATCCTGTACCCCTAGTAATATATGATGGATGATTATGAAATTTGTACCGTTTATAAAGTGAATAATTACATGAAAATAGTTAGGAAGGCCGGACTATTTTCATGTAATTATCATAATTTTAGAACTCTGCTAAAAGTAAATAAAAACTAATCAAAGAATCATACAAATGCATTAACAAGTGTTGTTAATAAAACAATTATTCAAGTGTTGTTAATAAAACGCATTCCTACGTTTTCTAAACTACCCGTGTATAAAATATAAATTACGTAAAAAACGATATGTTTAGGTACATCGAGATAAATGAATGACCTCACTAGTGTATTTAGTAGTTAAAAACTAACATTAAAATTTCTTTATTAATAATGTTGACTGTACAGATTAGATAAAGTAATAAAGGAATGTTTATTTTAAATCAATTAATTTAACAAAAGGAACTAATAATTTTCACTCAAATCGATTAGATACGGTAAACACAATATAAAAGTTATTATTGATTTGACAGGACATCATTTTATTAACAAATAAAAAAAATCATAAACGTATAGTTTTGAAAGATATCTATGTTAACTTGTCGACACCAATGACAACTTATTTGTGACAGCCAGCTGTCATTGGTATCAACTTCAGTACAGCTTAAATGTAAACTTCAAACTGAAATAACTTTTAAACGCAAAGTTCTAAAAATCTGGTAATTAAAACTGTAATTGTTGATGATATTACCAGCCAATTAAATACGCAATGAGATACGCAAGGCGATACAAAAGTCCCATACGTGCCTGCCATTGTCCTTTTGTTCGGTAATTGTATTGTTCTCCGCGACGCGACGTAACCGTTGATGGCGAATATTTGCTATGGATTTCTGTTATGGGCGCGGATATGAATGGCGAACCCAAGTTTGGTCACATTTCACATGACACACAGTGTAATGGACCAGCTGAGCAGTAGGTGTAGTTATTAACTTACGGGTTTGGGGTCTTGTTTTCAAAATTTCAAAACAAACACACTCTTCATCTCCATAATGTGATTAATTGACTGCACGGATGGCGTAGTAGTTTAAGCGCTCGCCACGCCGCTTTCTACTTCTTTCCTAAGAGTATAGACACTCATTCACAAAAACAATAAGAGTAACGGTTGAGTGTAGGGATTATCCCTCACAATAATAGGCACGAGTGATCTATTGTGTTGCTGCATTAGTCCTAGAATTATACAGTACGAGTAGTATAAGGCAAATAGATTTTTGAACTTTTCTTCTTCACAAGATCTATATATTGGAACAAGTAACGCACTTTAGGTCTGGCTTATGCTGTAAAATCCTAGTTCTGATAATTCAAAAATACTTATGGTTGTTAAGTTTAACTTAAGTAAGATATTTTGATTTCTTTATGCACCCTAACGATCAACATTTCTTAAACTTCAAAATACTATCTTAGCAGGCGTAGGGTGAAATTACAAACTTTTGCTTAAAGTGTTATTCAACATGGAATGAACATTATACAGCATATAAAAAGTTTTAAACATATTCTTTTTTAATTTCGAATTTTCTTAAACGAACGCTTCACAAGTTTATTCTGAGTCGATTCACCGTATCAATTTGTCGAATAATAAATTCAAATCAAGCAACTACATTGACGTGTTTAATATATCTACGCCTACAAGACACATTCTGTTCCGGGATCTTATAATGCTAACATGACATCATTTTACTAATTAGGAACGGCAATCATAACTGTGTACAGATGTATAAGTTGTTCATTTGGATGTTAAACTTTTACTTACATAACCGCTTGACCTTTGACAGAATTGATAAACGGTAAATCTTCTAATTATAATAATGCAAGTGAATGTTGTATGTGTGTGTAACACTCCCTTTTTTATATCTGAAGAAATAAGAATTAAAAATAAGCAATTTAAACGCCCACATTTTGACAACTGTATTTTTTACTTACGTAATATAGCGCAAACCTATTGTCGTGAATAGGGGATATAACATATACAAAATACATACATATTTCTAACTATATATACATATTTGAATTCATATAAACATAAACAATAAATAAAGTATACATTATATTTTATACTTTTATACTAAATTAACTAAAAAAAAAAAAAAACTGAAGATTAAAATATCTTTGACATTGTTTTTCACAAGAAAATAATCGTTTAAGAAGTGGCGTACAAACGATCCCTTTCAATTGTCCGCTTTACAAGTAATGAACGCAGAATAAACAGTTTACACAGAAAGTCAATAAACCAGTATACTATTTTACAGCTAAAATCATGTATTTTATCCGTACATAGCACCCATTTGACAAGTAAACCGCAGGAGTCGAGCACTACAAGTAAAGCCTTTTAGTTTATTTACAGCGGTTTTATTAAAACTGTCGTTTTATATTGCGCAACTTTGTTACATTCCATTTTACCACACAAGAAATGTGTCATTAGGACACTAGGACAATGAAATCTTTTGATACATTTTATGTTAGAAATTTATAGCGAAATAAATTGCGAGATCTAGGAAATTATCCTATTAAATATTCCTGTACTGTTATTTGAGGGTACACTCCATAAATAAGAAAAACTTTAAAATACCGGTTTTCGTAATTCCGAACAATTCAAAATTCGTATAACAATTCCGATTGATCATTCATCTCATTTTTATAATTTAAAAAATTCTAACGTTTATAATTACTATACTCAAAATACTGAGTTTAATTGGTCGAATAAAAAAAGTCCGTTAATGATAATTCGTAACATCAAATATTCGAATTCTTTCTATATTCTTTTAATTAAAAATAATTTATTTCGCTGGTCAAAGTTATAACCCAACCTAACACAAAGATTTCAATAACAGTAGATCGTTCCAGACGCAAGTACAAGACACAAAAAAAAACAAAAATATTAATAACAAACAAAGTAGACGTTTTTAAAGTATATTAAACGTTAATTATAGATTTGCAATATATATGCGTAACTGAATATTATACTACCTGAATCAGAATCAAAAGCCTGATTTTAGCTGATTATTAAAAATTTAAAGTATTTAAAATCGGAATGTCGTTTTTCGGACCAAGAACATCGAACCCATCGGACATTTGATCCTTCGAACGTATTAAAATCATGTATTTTGGTTTTACTGCTTATTATTCGAAAATCCTCATTCAGGTATATTTATGCATTTTCACATGTACGTGTAGATAAATGCGTAATAATGGTTTGTACTTTATCAAAATAATAATTTGTCATCTTTTATTTTGCAGGTGTAAAAGTAAAAATATTAGGCAGGAAGCCTTGAACGTGTTGATCAAAAGGAACCGGTGTTTTATTCACAATAGATAGATTTTAGAAGTTCTAAGGTGAATATGGAACTTTACCCTAAAACGGAGATTCAATCATTTCATCTCGACTTACCTACCGAACCTTGTCCGCGGAACTTGTTTATCTCTCTTGTAAGTAAAAAATATCTTGCCGCTCTCTACCTGGTAGAACCTTCGATATTTCCACAAAATTGGCCATTGATTGTTAAGGTCAGTCCCATGGGAGCGTGGAATACTTTAAATAAAATAGTAATAAAGTACTTAAACTCAAGATACTCCCCACAAGGTCTTCAAATTGGCAAAAATGAGACGGCGCTACTCGCGCTGGCACAGAAGATATCGGAAAATATATCGAACGATATAAACGGGAATGATGGAAATTCCTCAAAAATTCTAGATGCGATGAAACCTCAAAATGATGAATTTGACCTTCTTAGTGAAAAACTTCAAATTGTTTTCGATCTTGTTGCTAGTGACATAGTAAAACTAACTGGAAGAGAAGTAACTATTCACATCTCAATTGATGATAAAAAAATCAAATTGACAAAGTTACCCAAAGTCGAATCCTTTGACGAGTTAAAATTATTTAATTTGTAAAAAAGTAATTGAAGGTATTACTTATATTTTAGCTGACATAAATGTTGTATATTTGTTGAATTTCATTAGAACAGGCATATTAAAATGTATTTTGGTGGCCGGATAATCGCGTTCTATGAAACACGCTATCGACGAAGTGCAAGCATAAACATTTTTTTATTGCATTATCCGTATTATTATTTTTATTTAAATAATAACCTTTGTTAGACATCTTTCTGCTCTTAATTGTGCCAGATCGATTTAAGGAAGCTACTTTGCTTACTTAAAAGTGACCATTTCGTGCCAGATCTTGCCGATGATTATAAGTGACATTTTGTAAAATTTTTTTTTTAAAAACATTTTTTTATAACGCGTTTACATCAAAACTCTTCATACATCTTAAAAGGTTACGTTTATCTTGTCCTACATCCTAGAAAAAAGTATTGACCTTGAATGAATTTCACTAAAGGATTTAATATATACAGTTCATTACCTATTACATTAAGCTGTGCTTGTGTGGTGTTAATAGGCATGTTCTAAATTTTAGTAGCATTTAAAATTAGTATTGACTTGTGTTTTATGTATAAGTATAGTCAGAAATGATCACATAGCTCATGTAAATACTTAAGGACCAATACCGTTGAGTACAGGTTTATTTTATACTGAAAATGTTTTGAACTTTGAACATCTATTTTGTTACTGTTTCTTTTTACCGTCTTTTATTTCTTAGCTGATACAGTAAATCAAAGCTGTCTTTTACTCTTCTATATTTAAAAAATTCTTTTGATGTTTTTGTATGCTTAAGAATGATTTAATGACACCTATTATTTGTATGCATCCAGAAGTAATATTTTCTTTGTTTTTCTTTTCACTATTTGACTATTCTTTTTCTGTTCTTCTTTATCATTTTTTTTACTGTAAGAAAATATTTAACTAACGTAATAATTGTCTTTAGTACTTTAATACAGATTTCTGCTATCGATTGTACTTAAACATTTTTACAACGCAGAAAATCAAGTGGAAACCTATTGTAAACTTTAATAGTGTATGTAATTCAGTAAGGAAACCCAGCCATCACCCACCAACAGCATATCTTTGTGAGAAAACTTCTATCAGAAAAGTTCGTGATGGGATTTTCCTTTCGTAATTATATTCATTTTTTAATTATGAATATTAAGTAATACGATTACCTGTTAAGTATTTATGCATGAACCCTTTAACGATTTTATCAATTTTCAAATAAAAAGAATTTATAAAGATACAATAGTAGTAGTTGTTTCAATATGATTTTTTGAAATTCATAGATTCCTAACTAATCGTGCAAGAAACTAGGTAAGTTCAAATTACCCCATTGTAGAGTAATCTGACTATTATAATACTGTTATGTAAGTTATTGATTTTCTTCCCGCTACTCGCATATGGGGCTGAGGAAAGACGACGAGGGAACCGTGACTAATTACATTGTTTATTATCTCAACATCAAAGTGAACCATTAATATTGCAACACGTATAGTATTTAGTTATTTCTCTACGTATATTATAGTGTCAGCAACAGTTATTGTGCCTACTTTGAAGCAAAATTAGATTTCTGTTAAGATCTAAGGATTGTGCTAGAAAGAAGCACACTGCTATAATTGTGCTATAGTTTGAGGAGGGCAAATTAAATCAGTCGATCGCTCCGACGTGCTTAGAGCAGAAAACTTACATCTTTATATTTACAATTAAATTATTCCAAGATTCTTCCAATAGACAATTATTACTGTGATTTTATTTATAATTTGTCAGCAAAGAACATCTGTAAAGTATGTACATTATTCTCACAAATTAAATACCTATTAAAATGTCTGCATTTCTGAATCCTGGTAAACCTCTTAACTGTATCTGATTATTAATCTTCACCACCTATACATAATTGTACAAACTTCACGCTTGACTGATATCGACAATTAAAATGAAAACTTGATGCATGTGAGGCCAAATGGAACGAGCGGCTCGATATCACGAGGTTACTTCATAGATCATTTATATCTCACTGAGTTATGTACATAGATATATGTGTAATGCGCCACTACTAAGTACTATATAGTTCAATAAGCGCTTGTTATACTAGGTGATCTCTGGTAAGGAAAATTGTCATTTTAAAATTTCAGCGTTCTGAGAAGGAAATTTCTGGGTGGTTTCTTTAGTAGTCGGATGAATTCCGGCGGAGCGGTGTAATTATGCAATGTCGTCTATTGAAAATACTATCATTTTGCTACAATACAAATCTGTGCTTTTTTCATACTTATTGACTGTAACTCCATGTATAGTCGGATCCGCTTTCTGGTTTATAAAGTTAAATTTAAATGCTGACTGCTGCTAACTGTTGCTTATAGGAGCAATGGACGGTAGGCTACAGAAATGCATGGACATTACGAAACGAAAAAAGAGAGAACCGTAGTGGAAATATTTAATGCCATCTGGTGTTATCTTCATCTTTCAGATTTCATTTACTCTTAGTAGTTACATGGTCCATATTACTCTTACTAGATGGCGTTGCGCTAATTTAAAATTTCAGAAACTATAACATGGAAATTTCATTAGCATATGTACCTACTCAATTGAGTTTAATTTTGTACCAGTAACTTTAACATCAATTGCGGAAAGTTATAATAATTACAAAAGTACAAATATGCAATGTTAATAAATGGATAGTTTTTAATGACTTGATAGATTATTCGTTCGCCATCATCATTCCTCAAAAATATATGTGTGTTATTGTGTTTTTTAGCTAGCACCGGTTTATTCTGAATAGTAATTTTGTTACCTAGATCTAAAAAATCTCAGTTCTCTCATCTTTCTAACTTACCATGGTAGGTGGTGGGTAGGTTAGGCAAACATGTAAATACGACCATTTACTGTAGCAAAAAGGGCTTTTAAAATAGGACGGATTATATACGCCATTGCAGTTATCAATTATTAAAGTTGTGAGATACACACTTTGTGCCAAGCTTTGTGCAATTCTTGTACTAAGAAAAACTACTAACGCCACCTTATATATTTTTAAAGTATTCAGGGGATTATAGGCTCGATGGCCGGACCGTGGATACGGCCCTCCACACGTTGGCAGAATACCCGGCGTGGGTGGAGCAGAGGCGTGACCTCGTGGTGGCCATGGGAGTGGGAGTCCTCTCGCTCAGTAGTATGATTGCTGCCATGGTACGGAGCGAGTTATGCTTGCGAAGGAGATGGCGAAGCGGGACCGGGAGAGGTTTAGGACTCTTCCGGCCTCTTCTTTTGAGCACCAAGGGAACATGGGGGCTTCCAGACAGGAGGGGTCATCTACCCATCGTAGATGGCCCGAGGTACTTCAGGGTACCAGGGATTTCCTTTCCAGGGTACACCTGGTTCCCCGGCTACTGGTACCCTAGACGGCGTGCGGTTTTTAGTCGCTGCGAGTCCGACAAAGCAAAAACCGGTAGGTGGTATCCGAGGGGATTTCCGAACAGAAAAAAAGGGAATTATAGGCTATAAGCCATCCATGCCATCCATCTAATGTTGATTGTGATTGTACATAATTTATAAAATTTGTACCGAAATATAGGTTTAAGTATTAGTGTCAGTTCTCTGTAGTTAGGTACTTCATTTTTCTAAAAATAAAGTATCCTTGGCTTTTAAATTTAAGTTCTATCTTTTTTTAATTATATTTCTTACTAGCTGGTACCCGCGAGTTTGAAAAGTAGGTTCGACGGCCGGACCGGGCAAAATTTTTAAAGGGTTTTTTTGAGAGGTAAAATAGCCTAAGTTATTGCTTATGTAGACAGCTACCTGGTAATAAAAATTATCGAAATCGGGCCAGCCGTTTATAAGATTACCTTGAATAAACCGACAGACAGACAGACAGCCAAATTTATTTTTTAACTGGTTTTTAGGCATAGGTATCTAGCAAATAACCGTGTGAGCATGAAAAAAACCTATAATTTTGACATTACAAACAGCACTTCAATTTTATTTATTTGTATAGATAACACGTGCTTCTTGTAATAATTCTTGTACATCTATAAATAAATTCATGTCACACGTGCGCACACCTTTTACTCAATTAATTTTCATTTAATATATTTAGAACTTAAATCTAAATTTAGCTTTAGCCTGCCATAGTCATTTTCAGGTAGATGAAAAGTATGCTTAAAATATTATGGCAATATGTCATTTTATTAATAGGTAGGTGTTTATTATATTAATGAATATTTGGCGAGTTGAGTCTGCATAATTGGGACTACACGGATGCAGTAGTGGTTTAAGTGGTCACCTCGCTGCTTTCTACTGCGCTGAGTGTCGTGGGTTCGATCTCCACATGAGACAACACTTTGTGTGTTCCACAAATTGTTGATCTGAGTCTAGATGTTCTTTGTGTGCGTTTGTGATGAATGAATGTTTGTAAAGTCTCCCGCGACACAGATTTATATTCGTAGAGTGGGAGCTGTCTTTAAAAGTGATTGGAGTTATCAGTACATTACAAAAACAGCCAGAGTCACACTGTTATTGTTGTATTTAAATGCTACGAAAACTGTATATAATAAACGGGATAAGACAAAACAGGAAGTGTCCCTGTGTATAAAGTTATCAACAATCCTATTGTTAAGCTGCGTAGACCACAGCCTAAACAATAGCAAACGCCGACGCCCTGGGAAGCAGGGGCGCGATGTCTTCGACATAAAACATATTTTGCGGAAAGTGCTAGTCATGTCGTGCGACTAAATCTAAATCTCATTTGAAAATGAATATTCGCTGAAGCTATTCCTTCGTTTCTCAAATATATAAAGTATATACAGTGGTTTAGGTTCGTCTGGACAATGAGGTCGGAGACTTGGTCCATTACTGAGTTGTATCTACAACCAACGAAGCACGAACGACGTCGGAGGCAGCCTGGGTCGACTGGCTAGCCCTCGAGGCTTGCCGAGAATCGCGGAGAGGTTTGCAGTCTCCCTGCCCCATCTGGTGATTAGCGGGCTTATTACCCACCGCACACGACAGGCAGT